AATGCCTTATGGTCTGCTAAAAAGTTTTATTTGTAGATATTTGTAGATGACGAAGCAAGTGATGTTATTCTTTAACCATTGAGAAATGTGAGTGTTGTCTTAGCAACATGACAGCCTGTTTGCTAGCCCTGGCCCAGTGCTGGGTGATGCGGATGGCAGAGGAAGGCTCCCACAGGACCTCGCTCATGTTTCTTATTACTCTGTGGTTAGGCTGGATGTATGCTCTTTTGTCCTATTGTTTTTATCTGTGCGGTTTTCCTTAGTCACAAGTGCTTGAAATGCAAGAACTATGCATATTTGACCTCTTATAGGATGATGAGAAAACCAACCATGGCCTTTTAAAAACTGAAATGTCATAACTATGATAAAGATTGTGATGCGTACTGTATTTCTAGTTGGTAACAGTGAGGCCTCCTAACGATTATCTTTCTTTAGGCTCGAAATCGCTCATCCCTTAAACTGAAAATATACCATCCCCCACCCCCCTTCCCCAACACATTCACATTTTATCATGCAAACACACACACACACACACACACACACACACACACACACACACACACATACACTTTTGCGTAACTATGATTCTCCCTATGACTATCTCTGCCTATTTCTCTTTATTCTACCTGCCTGGTATCCAAAATAAAACTGGAAGTCACCCTTGATTCTTTCCTCTCTCTCTCTCCATTGGCATTGAACAGCTGCCATTTCCTGCAACCTACCTCTTTACCATCCCTGAAGTTCTCCCCTTCTCTCCCTGTCTCCAGCATTCAGCACTTTGCACCGTAATCAGCAAAATCCTTGCCTGGCTCTTCCCTAAAGTCACAGATCTACTTTCACATCATTTTGTGCCTTAGGCCCTGACAACATAGAGCCTGGCCCCCAGCAGGTCCTCAATCACGTTGGCTAAATGAATGACTTTCTCATATAACCTCTTCATACATTTGCAAGAACATATGGCCGCCCAGGTGGTGTGACCGGCAGGCAACCAAGTGGAGTACAGAAGGAATGCAAACCCACCTCCCTCACAACATGATATAAGGCCAGAAATCACCACTGGCAAAGTAGAAGTCACTCCTGAGCTAAAGCGTCATGTTTCTAGGAGGCCTGTGTTAAAAACCAAATATGCTCTCTAAGATAAGAATTAGCACTTCAGAAAAATTTTCTTGGTCAGTTAGCAAGGTTCTGAGCGAGACATAGGACATGTGAATTTTGATAGCTAAATAGGTCAAATGAGATCCATGGCATGAGACATTGCTCCGTAGAGGGACAGGATCTGAAGGAAAATCACGGAAATAAAACTCGGGACATTTAGGCTTTGCCTCTAGAATTAAATATATAATAAGAAAGATGATCTGAAAATTTATGTTTGAGTCGGAAACAGGAGGAGTTGTACTTCTTGTCTCGGGATACAACCTCTAGGCTCTGCTTCCACTTAGAAGGATAATTTTAATTCTAGACATGAGTCTAATAAATCCACGTGTTTGGATTTTCTGGAATTCTTCTGACTCTAAATACGGACTTGTTTCCCAAAACTTGCAGGTTCCATCTGCCTCATGAATGGGCAGTTTCCATGATGTCAGCAGGGGGAATGGCAGAGGGCCGCCAGATGCCAGCCCATTTTTCCAGACTTGACACAGCGGTGAGTGGAGATTTAGCCTCACCAAGACAAATCAACTGCTGAATTCCCCTTTTAATTTATTGCCTGAGTCAAAACAGGATGAAATGAGAGCTAATAAAATAATTCAGTTGGCCAGAAAGTACTCTACATCTTATTTCTAAGAGTGCTCTAAACCAGAATGAATCATCTCAGGAGCTACCAGATGTCACTGGTGATCAGAGCTGCTACAACATGACTGGGCTCTCTCCCTCCCTCCCTCCCTCCCTCTCCTACTCTTTTTCTGTTTACTTTCCCTTCCTTCCCTTCCTTCCCTTCTGTTTCTCCTTCCCTCTCTTTTTTTTCTCATTTCTTTCTTCTTTCGTTTACTTCCATCCTTCATTCATTCAACAAATACTTGTTGAGGCTTTACCACAGGTCAGATGACACAATGACAATTTTAATTGTACAAAATCCCTGTTCTACACACACACACACACACACACACACACTCCTATTTTGGGACTCCTCCTGGCAGCTTCTTAAATTAAAATCGATGTTGGCTTTGGTCCCAATACATTGAGTGGCAGAGCATTCCTGATGTTAAGTGGCATCTAAAGGCCACTACAAGATGGGACAGTGAAGGTGACTGACAGGAGATCTGGGTTTCACTCCTGCCTTTGACTTTATGAATGACTTTGGCCAGGGATTTGGGATATAAGAGCCTCATCTGAAGAAGGAAAGGGTGGGCCTGGATGCCTTCTCAAGTTTTCTCAGTCTCAACTGATTACAAGATCTGAAAGATCCTCTCAGTGTGTGAAGGGCCCAAGGATGATAATGAGAAACCTGGTCTTCCAAGATCAGAAATGTGAAAATAAAAGCCATTAAAAAAATGGCTTTTTTGAAACACTTGTCTATCAAGAAATATATAATAAATGTAATCAATCTTATTTCTACTATTGTAAAATATTCAAATTGCTTTTCTGGGTCAGGCCTTTGCAGGAACAGTGCGAATAAGGAGGAAGGCCATTGAATGAATCACAAAAAATTTCTGTAGAGAAGCAGTGCCACCTTCTGGAATGAAGTGGCTGTGCAAGTGGGAAATATCACGAGGAATCTCAATCTGGGACTTCGCTGAGCACCAAATCAGGAGCGTTAGTCTTAATCAGAAGCTGAGCCTTTAAACTTTGACAAGATCATCAGACGGTGGAAAGATCTCTCCAAAGATTAATTTTAGCCATTTTTTAGATTTACTTTAGCATCGAACTGCTCATCTGTGCTACACATGTTTCTTTATAAATCAGCTTCGACAATTATGTGCTAATAAAAGCCACTTAGTCAAAATCTGTTATTTTGAGTACATTGCCAGGCTCAAAGATTTAAAGTATTCTGTAGTTCAGACTCCATTAATCAATCAACCATCCTATCATATCTCTAGGTCTCACCCCAGCTCTAGAATTCAGCTACATGGAGAAAATCATTATTTGTTGAGTTTTGTTAAACGTGGGGCATTTTATATACTGAAGGATGTAGAGAGGAAAGTGTAAGACACATCCTGATCTCGTATTGTGGAAAAATTGGCATGAAAATATACAAACATAAATAACAATTATAAAAAGTATATAATCCTGCCAATTACAAAATAAAATATGTTTCTGTGTGAAATGGACCATAACTGCTTGGAGAATCACTGCTTCAGGCAGGGGGTGAAGAGGGTTTTGTGGAGGAAAGGTTACTAGAGTTGCATCTGGCAAAATTACCAGGATATGGATAACATTCAGAGATGATGGAAAAAATGGAACAAGCACAAAAAAAATGGAGGCAGATAACTTGTTAAATTTTTGATTTTTAAAAAAATGAAATGCAGTGTCCTTGGAAACACCAGGAAAATCAACTTAACCTGAGTAAGATTTTTTAGGAGAATAGTATGAGATAAGGCAGGAAAGGGAAATTGAGACATGATTAGATGATTCCATAAATGCCAGGATAAGGAGATTGAGCTTGTTCCTGTAAGCAATCAAAAAGCATTGAAGATTTCTGGGAAAGAAAATAAAATGATCAGAACTGTGTTTTAAGAAGACTCACCTGGTAATCAGATACAGGATGGAATAATTCTAAGATGTGAAAAATGCCCTGAATATGTAAAAGACACAGAGGTTAAAAAAGAGAGAGAGAGTTTTCAAGGTCAAAAATGTGCATGTAAAAGCAGAAAAGGAAGCTTGCTCTATGATACTTTTCTGTATCGAGATATACATAACGACTTAAAATTGTTCTGAATATTAAACTCACTAGATGAGCAGAGAACAAAAAGGAGTCACATCAAAAAAGGGGCGAGCTGCTATAGAGGGAAAAAAGATCCTGACCTGAGAAAAGCAATAACAGCAGCAAAGGACCCAGAGACCCAGAGACATCTAGAAGAATAAGAAATAGTATTGATTAGACGTGACCACACATTGTAGATAATCCATAACTAATAAATGAATTAACTGGTTGGTTAATTGTTTAATTTTTTTTTTTATTATAGAGGTTTTAAAGAAGGACCGGATACAAGGACCCTCGTATTACAAGCTTCACGGTGTTCCCAGCCTCCCCTCTTCTTGACCTTTAGTTTGTAACTGCACACAAATTTTATTTCTTTAATATAGATCTTTCCCCTGATTCAAGCCGGTTTTGCCCAGATAAAGGCTTTATGATTCATTCACTTTTTGCCCCCATCCTTGTCCTCTGTATGCCTGCTCCTTAAATCATTCGGCTTTAGGGCATGATTAACCGAGCCTCTGGTCTATAATCATGAGGACAAATAGGTTTCAGTTGAACTTTAAGGATAACATCTTGGCTTGAGATGTGTTTCAGCCCCAGCCCCATCGAGGCAGAGGGTCACGGGATCAGACGGGATGGCGCCATGGCCTGGACACAACGATCAGCTACCTCAACTCCCTTTAGTCATCCAATCGGTAGCACCCATGACCCCAACTCCCTTAGTTTCCACGACTACTGATTTCTTCCCTATATAATCTATACTCCCGAGATACTCAGGGAGACAGGCCTTTGAGTGATGGCTCGCCTGTGTCTCCGGGACCTGCAATTCTCTAACAAATGCTTTTTGTTAGAGAACTTATTTAGCCCAAGTCCTGTGTCATCGGTCTTTTGGCTGAGCTGCTCAGGCAGCAGGAGCCCCTGACTCGTTTGCCCTCTGTTCTCAGTCTTAGAAAGAAAGTAAAGGTATAGGGTATCAAAACATTGACTTTTTTTTTTTTTTCAAAAGGAAAAGGCTAATTTTAAAATTATTTTCAGAGGGCATGTCAGATGCACACCTTTGGAACAGTCTGTTTCTTTCCTTTTTTAAAAATCCCATAAAACCTTGTACAGGTATTCCCAAAT